CCTTTTGCTTGTTGAAGGGCAGTGAGGTCTAGTGGTTAAAGACTGACCAGAATCAGGGAAACCAGAGTTCAAATCCTCACTCAGCCAGGAATGCCACACAGTGGCCATTGCGCAGTCATGTTCTCTCAATCTTACCTACTCCAGCAGGTTGCTGTGAAGGAAAAATGTGTGAGTGTGAATCATGTACCCAGTCTGAGCTCCATGGAGGAAGTATGGGATTAAAAAGGCAATAAAAAGTAATTTCAGTGCTGGGAACAATAGATGGCAAAAGAAGAAGGGGGCGGCAGAGGATGAGGTGGCTGGATGGAGTCACTGAAGCAGTTGGCGTGAGCTTAGGTGGCCTCCGGGGGATGGTGGAGGACAGGAAGGCCTGGAGGAGTGTTGTCCATGGGGTCGTGATGAGTCGGACACAACTTCGTGACTAACAGCAACAACAACAACAACAAAGTAATTGTTGGTTTCTCCCTGCCAAATTCCCTGGTTTATCACAGGCTAGGGCAAGGATGGAGAGCTCAGTTTTACCCCATGAAATTCCCTTCAAATGGTTTGGTGGAAAAAAGGATTAAAAAAAAAAATCCTGCGCAGGATCCAGTTATCGTCTATATTCTGGGTCAGAAACAAGGCTTTTCCTGTGGTGTATCATTGTTTCTGGTGAAGTGGTTCTCCATTGTGCAGACAGATGGCCAGTGGATGGACTTGCCTCCCAAAAGGTGCTCCCTTTTGCTATCTGGGATGTGTGTGTGCATGATTTGAGAATCAGAGCTTGGAAATATGCTGCTATCAGTAGCATTAATAAAGCACCGTGAACATATCGTGGCTTATCATGAAGTACAAGAAGACAGATGCCTCCTGCATGGAGTTTACAATCTAAAATAGCTAGATAAGTGTATGCTCAACTGAGCTTAACCGTTTATTGAAATAATCACTCAAGGCCTTGTTCTGTCTTCCCCCATCTTATGAACTCCTAAGTTCAGGTAGGAGCTTTTCTACCCAAGGCCTTTATTATGTGCTCACAATGCTGGCTGTTTACAGGTTCTTTAGACAAGGTATGATCCTTCCTTTTCACTCCTATTTTTTCAGAGCACTTTCTTGATGCATGCATTAATTTAGTACAGGGGAAATTACCTCTTCTTTGGAACTGGAAATGGCGCCCTTCTTTCCTGGTGTGCTTACGCTGTACGGCTAGAGCACAGCTCCATTTAGCGGTTGTGTGGTGGTAAGCAAGAAAGGGACAGCTTGGATCTCTAAACTGAGACGAAACTAAAATCAGATTGAGCAATTATCAGCTCAATAAATGCCTCATTTAGAATAGACTTATCAGAGACAGGGCCTTTCTGTAGCACGCCCCGAAAGTGGAATGTCATCTCTAATAATGCCCACCAAAAGTTTTATTATCTTTCTGGCACCAGGTAATATATCTTTCATTTTCCTCAAGCTTTTGGCCGGAAGCATGATGGAGATAGAGATTAATTATTTTTACCTGCTGCTTATTGGGTTGATTTGAGACTTGTTTCTTGGATTGCTCTTTCTTTCATTTGATTTCTTAAATTGTTTGTATTTATTTTTCTGCTGTTTTCTTATTTATTTATAGAGTAAATGGTCTAGGTTTGTCTGTATGGTCCAATGCTTTCCTTTTGTGAAAATATGCTACAAGAAAATATTACAGTTTTTGTATTTGCATAGAGATCTTGCTGAGTTGGTTTACCAATTTTATTTATTTACTTAAGTTGGGGGGTTACCTCGGAGGTCTTTAAAGTACAATCATATAGCCTCCTGCAGCCAGCATGAAAAGAACAGTTCTGGCTGTCCCCTACTCCTGAGGTCCCTACCGGATCTTGGAGGAGGTATAAAGAGGAGTGCTGGGAGCAGGGAGAGACGATTATAAGACTCTCCTCTTAGAAACACTTGTTTTCCATCTGCAGTACATTGCAGAAGGGGAGAAAGGTGGAACATCAATGCTTTTAAACAAAAGCAAAACTGTGTTTACTGTAACATATTAAAGTAGGAGCTGCATCCGTGTTTTGAATTTGCAGGCAGGGAGAAGTCCTGGAAGAAACACGCAGTTTGTTGAGACCCTCTGTGTTTTCTTTCAGCAATAGCTGTTCTCTGTGTACATGGTACAGATGCAGCTGAGCCTTCAAACCTGGGGCATTTTCTAAGCTTGCCAGTTTGCTGATTGTGCCTTCAGTGTCTCAGGACACAAGGTTCAGTGGATTTAGGGCGTAAGTTTGGGTGGGGGGGAAAAAAGTCTTACAACACCAACATGTGGGCTGCTGGGCCATGCTAGGGATTGCTGGAGTTTTCGCCTGCACATGCATAGCATTGGGCCTCTGGTTATATTTGAGTGGAATCATCCCCAACCTGTTGCCTTCTCAATGCGTCAGACCACGACTCCCATAAACGCCGGCCAGCATGTGCCTCAGCCAAGCTGGTGGGGGATTGTGGGAGCTGCGCTGGGAAGGTACCAGGTTAGGTTTTGCTGGGAATGAAAGAGGCAGTTCTTCTTGGCGTGCTTTCCATGGCCAGGTGGCAGTGACTCACTGGATGGATCCTGGGAAACTGGGTCTGTAGAAGGCGAGGATGGCAGAGGAGGGAGAGCCCACCTCAAGGCTGCCGTCTACAGGTGTTCAGGTGGGCCCTGGAAACAGACAAGGTTTCGAAGTGCTGGCAGGAGGTACAGAAGAAGAGCAGGAGGCGTCTGATCCAATCCCTGACCTTGCGATGTGGCATCAGGAGAGAAAGGCTAGCCAGATAGAGGGCCTGCATAGATCCAGGAAGCTAGCCCTTCTCCACTGGAGCACACCCAGCGTAACTGAAAAGGAGGGTTCATTGGGCTCAATGAACCACTCTGTGCATGCTCAGAGGCTATCCCTTTGTTGACTGTTACATTGTGGTATGCTTAGAACATGGGACTGGGACTTTGGCAACCTGGGTTTTAGTCCCTGCTCATCTGTGGAGCCAACTGGGTGACTTTGGGCCAGTCACAGACTCTAGTCCAGCCTGCCTCACAGGGTTGTTAAGACTGAGAGGAGACAAGAATGATGTGAGGTGCTTTGAGTCCATTGTATGAAAAGAAGTGAGATATAACTCAACAAATAAATTTCCTGACTGTAGGTTGGAAATAAAATCTTTTTTGCCAAAGAACCGTCTGATATTTGAAAGGAAGAAGAAGGGAATCCAGCTCCCAACAGGTTAGCTGTTCCATACTTTTTGAGAAAAGTAGTGAAGTTCTTGCATCCCCTGAAAACCTTCCATACCTTCTACCCAGCTCCTACGTAGGAAGAAACTAATGGTGACCTTCTTTTCAGAGTCATGGTAAGAATCTGCAAGAAGGGCTGTAAACTTTGAACACTCTAAAGCTGGAGCTGGTCCCTGGCTGTTCAGCACCCATGGAGAACGGGCTGAAACGGTGCTGCATTTCGAGCTGGATTGATGTTTCTTTAAGAACTGGCCAGCCAGTCTGGGCAGAGAGCCTGCTGTACCTGCTTCTTTAATGAATGCGCTAGTGCATGAAAGAGGACGCCTCCAAATCCATTCTTATGAAAAAGATAGCCATGCCATTTAGCAACGGATAATGAAGGGACATTCTGCTTCCTAAAATAATACTTATTCTTTCTGCAAGATAATGAAGATCCCCCAGATAATCCTCTTAGCAGAAGCCCTAAAGCTTTGTGGAAGAACGGGAGGAGGGGAAATCTTATTTGAGCTCTGATTACTCATGTACTGAAACGAATACAATAATGGCAATACCTAGAGCTTTTGAGAGTTGCTTGAGTGTTCAAAGCAACCTTAACGTGGGGCCATCCAAATGTCTTGAAGTGCAGCTCCTATGATCTTCCGCCAGCTTGGCCAGTGGGCTCGCCGGCTGGAGTTTTTGGGAGGTGTAGTCTGACTTTTGGAAGGCAATGGGTTGGGGATGACTCTAGCCAGATAGAACTACGGGCACGATCCTTTGCATGTTCAGATAGAAAAAACCCCTGCAACTCCAAGCAGGCCCTAGCCTTTTTCTGTCTGAACAGTGGTAGGATTGTGCCCTAAATCCACAGAGAGCTAGTGCAGCACAGTGGCTCTCCAGCTATCTATCCAGAAGTCCTTGGTTACCATCGTCTTTCTGCTATGGAGTCCTTAGGCGAGGCCTCTGATGCTCACTGAGCCCAACCCCATGGAGATGATGATCCTGAGGGGGTGCTGTAAGATACTGTATGCCGTGCACTTTCAACAATAAAAGAATGAAAATATATGCAATCCCCACCATGTTGTGCTTGTGATATGGAAGCCTTTAACACAGTTGGGCTGAGCTGGTATGACGTCATGGAATGTTTATGGGTATTCCAGTTTCTCAAGGAATAAAGCTGTCGGATTCCCTGTAGCTGAACTTTTGCGAGAGAAAGGCAAGTGAAGGGTTTGGCTGGAGTTAAACTTTGCCCAGGCCCCAGGGGCCAGGCCTGATCTGAGGAGATTGCTGAGGACTTGGCTAAGACTTTTAAGAGACAAGGAAGCTAAGATGTAGAACTGAAGAAAGAGTGCAGAGGTGGTCATGGACTGTAAAACAAGAACCTGAGGGAAGAACAGAGCTTGCTCAAAATACTGTACCATGTGAGCAGCACCGAGAAGCCTAAGGTGCCCATCCCCAAATTTAAGGTGCAGAGTACCCTCATATGGTGGAGTTACTTTGGCATCTCTCCCTGCCCCTGGCAATGAAGACACAATCCTAAGAAATAACCAAGATTGTGCTGCCCTTGCATGGCACTCAGTATCTGCTACCTGAAGCAGCTTCTTTGTTGGCCCTGGGGAAGCGACTGGGATTGCGCAGAGGGGGATTCTTTAGCTCTGGGTTCAACTATCATTGTGAGCTAGCAACTCAACAAGGCCAAGGTGCAGATATATTTTGCATATCAATTTGAGCTAATTCTTTCACTGCAGGTTCCTGCTATATACACATACAAGGAAGGACAAACCATTACGGATGGATAATGGAAATACTTCTTTTTCTCCTTCAGGGTTACCTCTCAGAAGGCTTGGTAACAAAATGGTATCGATCGCCTCGCTTGCTCCTTTCACCAAACAACTACACCAAAGCGATTGACATGTGGGCAGCTGGATGCATTCTAGCAGAGATGCTTACGGGAAAGATGCTCTTTGCCGGTATGTCTCCAAGTCTTTTTTCCCCTTCCCCTTCTCTCCCTGAGAGGGTTTTCCATACTTCTGGAAGTTTCCTTTCTAGTGGTTTAAGGCCTTCTGTAAACTTGACATGCATTGGTTGGTGAGGAATCCTGATGTTCTATGTTTGGCAGATGTTTTTGGACCACCCCCCCAAAAAAAGACCCTTTCTGGTCCCCATAGTTTTGGAAATAAATTTGGAAATGTAAAAGCAATGAATGAATGTTTACCAGATGCTAGGCTTTGCAACAGCAGATGTGCTGACTCAGAGGGAATGTCCTTGCAGAGTAATATGATCTTTCAACTGGGCTGATAGAACAAGAGTCGAGTACGAAAGGACAGACTAGGTTCAGACAACACGATAAACTGCACTCAGGGGTTGAATATGGGTGAGTGTGGCTTCTTGTTGAACTGTGGGTTATCAACTTGTCTGAATCCAGCTGCAGTAGCAAGCTATGACTCGTTAACCATGAACAACGAATGGTTTTTGTTGTGTTGTGAAGAGTGAGTTGTTCATCATGGTTTGTTATTTCATTTTGGTTCAGACAACTGAATAGCCCATGTTTCAACAACCACCCATGGTTTGATGACAACCCACACCGAATCCATACACAACACTTGATTGTGGGTTAATGATTTGTCACCTGCAAAGCAAAACTAAGTGTCTCCTTGAGTTCTGCTAGAGAAGGACATTACTTGAAACATAAAGATGCAGCACAAGAAGCCCATAAATCCCAGGGAGTTCTTACCACCTGTGCAAAACTTCATCCAAGTATAAATCTGGGAAAACGTCCTGATGGATGTTCAGTATAGCAGCTTCTCTCGGAGGGGTTATACGAAAGAATCCTCATGCAAGAACGAGAGGTTTGCTCACCTGTTGGAAGGCTGCCAGCCAAGTCCCTCCACAACAGCTAGAAAGGGGCCCATAAATATTTATCCAGGAAGCAAGCACACCCCCTGATGCAACTAAACAAACAAGCTTCAGTTTGATCCCAGTGCCCATCTTTCTTCTTTGTTATTATTATCATTACCATCATTGCTCATTATTTATTTTGCAAGACAGCAGGATTTTGACACTCCAGTAAGTGGCTGTGCACAGATATCTCTAAATAAATGATGGGCTTCATTAATAATGGAGTCGAACCCCTTGGACTTCTAAAATAATCTCACTCAAGAAGGCCTGGTAGCATCCGCTCTGCACAGGACAGTGATGGCTGATGCCTTCAGCTCGGGGGGCCATTCTTTCCTCCAGCCTGGGGGGCTTAGTTCCCTCCACCCTTGAGCAGAGACAAGTGTGGTCCCATGCCTTCTGGCAGGAAGAGACCAGCTTCCCACGTTGAAGAACCTGGCTGGTGCCCTGCTGGTAGAAAAGGGAGGGAACTTTTGAGGTGGTCGGCACGGCCAGGTGGGCTTCAGGTGAACATGGAAGATCTCAACCAAGCACTGAAATGCTGATGTTCACCATTTGCAATTGAGTCAGCCCTGGTCATTGTACTCTGGTCCACCTCCCACAGCTGGTTCTCCATCCTTGTCCTCCTCACCCAACCTGAACAGCTGGTCAATATTCTGTGGCCCTTGGAGTGTGTCTGGTCAAGATATTCAAACTGTGGAGTTCCCCTGAGAATCCTGAGAGTGTTGCTTGGTTTGTGGTGTTCTTCCAGCTGCATAATGAATAGGACCCCCATAAGAACATCAGAAACAGAGGGACTGCTACTGTCTTTATACACAGAATCGTACTGTAAGAGTTGGAAGGGTCTTTGTTGGCTATCTAATCCAAATCCTGCTCAAGGCAGAAGATTCAGGGCATCATCCAGCTTCTGGAAAGCTCACTCTAGATCAGCCTTCCTAATATGGGTGCCCTCCAGATGCCAGTTCTATTTGTGACTGATATTTATTTAGATTAGATTTATATCCCACTTTTTTCTTACAATGAACTCAAAGCCGTTTACATAATTCTCCTCCTGCTGCTCTCAAGCTTATCTCCACAGCAACAACCTTGTCAGGTAGGTTGGCCTGAGAGTCTGTGACTGGCCCAAAGGCACCCAGTTAACTCCATGGCTCCATCCAGATTGTCTGAGTCCTGCACCCACGCTCTTAACCACTATATCACACTGGCTCTCAGTTATTAATTAATAATGATCAAAAGACCTATTGCTGTTAGTTGCGAAGTCGTGTCCGACCCATCGCAACCCCATGGACAACATTCCTCCAGACCTTCCTGTCCTCCACCATCCCCCGGAGTCCACCTAAGCTCACACCAACTGCTTCAGTGACTCCATCCAGCCACCTCATCCTCTTCCGTCCCCTTCTTTTGCTGTCAATTGTTCCCAGCATTAGGGTCTTCTCCAGGGAGTCCTTCCTTCTCATTAGGTGGCCAGAGTATTTGAGTTTCATCTTCAGTATCTGGCCTTCTAAACAGCAGTCAGGGTTGATCTCTAGGATCAATTCAAAGGCCTCAATCCTTTGGCGCTCAGCCTTCCTTAAGGTCCAGCTTTCACAGCCATATATTGCAACTGAGAAAACCATAGCCTTGACTGTACGCACTTTTGTTGGCAGGGTGATGTCTCTGCTTTTTAGTATGCTGTCTAGATTTGCCATAGCTTTCCTAAGAAGCAAGTGTCTTTTAATTTCTTGCCTGCAGTCCCCATCTGTGGTGATCCTGGAGTCCAGGAAAATAAAATCTGTCACTACCTCCATGTCTTCCCCATCTATTTGCCAGGAAGTGAGAGGACCGGATGCCATGAACTTAGTTTTCTTAATGTTGAGTTTGAAGCCAGCTTTTGCACTCTCCGCCTTCACCCGCATCAAGAGGCTCTTTAGCTCCTCTTCACTTTCTGCCATGAGAGTGGTATCATCTGCATATCTGAGGTTGTTGATATTTCTCCCAGCAATCTTAGTTCCAACTGGTGATTCAAAAGGCCTAGCCTCCATGAATTTGTTCATGGGTGCAATCCCATGCATATTTAGCCAGGAAAAGATCCCAGAGTTCCCAGCATTTCCCAGGTTCTCAGCATTTCCCAGGTAGTCATCGTAAGACACTTTTTCTGTCTAGCATGCATAGAATTGTACCCAAAACTGCTGGCTACTCTCTAAGGACTTCTCTAAGTTAATACAGTCCCTGTGACTGGGACTTTCTAAGTTAATAATGCATTTTTTTTCACTGTCCGTTGGGTATGTTGATCTCATTTTTAAAAGGCATCCAGAGCAGCATACATCAGTAAAGAGTGAAATCAGTGGCTGCATTAAACACACAAACACCGCACAATTACAATAAGCCACAAAATCAGCGAGAAGATAAATGGGAACATCAGTCACTGATGCCATCAGTCAGAATAGACATTGAGTACTTTCCTGAAGAAGAAAAACTTTTTATCTGATGGGGGGAGCGTAAAAGGGGGGCAGATAAACCTCCCTTGGTAAGGCATTCTAACATTTGGGTGGAGCCATGCAGAATGCCCTCCGTTGCCCCCAATAGGTTGGATCTCCTGTTAGTCAACTTAAGGCAGAGATTGCGAGTTTTGGTATTCTGAGTGGGGAGAGAGGTGCCTTCTCTCTAGGGCCGGACCTACCATGAGACAGAGCAAAGAATGGCCTCAGACGGCAGGGTCTTTTGTAAGAGACAGTTTGAGACGCAGTGCAGGGCAGCAGTTGGAGGGCTGAACTGGGATCGCGGGGTCTCAGCCATGAGGTCTGCGGGGGATTTGGCCAGTCACTGCCCCTCAGCCTCACCTGCTCACAAGGTTGTCGTAAGGATAACGTGGAGCGGAAGAGAACCAGCTTTTGCCCTCATACCTAGTTTTGCGTGTGGAGGGATTTTGTCTTTCTTTCTTGAAACGAAGGGCGCTGCAGTCACGTGGCGGCCCTGCAGTCTGGCCACATCACGGGAGCTGTGTTGTGTGTTCCGCAGCTGCTAATGGCATCGGTGGCGGTAGGTCCGAGCTGTGATGCAGCTGCTGCTTCACAGTGTGACTGGGACTCTGGTAGAGGTTTGTTTTGTGATAAGGAATAAAGACCCAAAATAAATGGCCGCTGACTCGGTGCTGGGTGTGAAGGCTTGTTTGGGGCCTCCCGGGGGTGAGACCCAGCATGTCCAGGCATTCTTCAATTCCTTTCCCAGCAACAAGGACTTGTACATCAAGCGCTGTTGTTTTAAAATAAACAGTGTGGTGCTTTTGCTCACACCGAGGATGTTCTTCTCCACCCTAGCAAGCTATGGGAAGCAGGGGAGGAAAGCACTTTTTAATACAGATTTTTTGAAGGCAACATTGGCGTCCTCCTGGGACCGAGGGAGGTGGGAAAGAACGCAGGGCATAGCATAGCAAAGCACTGGCGTATGTACCAAAATAATGAACTGGCTTGATCCTGGAGTGGTGCAAAGCAGCCTCCCCCCATCCCGGTGCTGTCCAAATATGCTGTGCTGGTCCCATGTCTCCAGCCAACATGGCTACCGAGAATGGTTCTCTCGAGGGAGAATATTCTGCCGCTGAAGAAAGCCTCCTCTTTTGTGGCTGAATGTTTCTGGCAAAGGAGGTGTTGGAAGAAGGGCTTCAGCTGAAGATCTCCTGGCTCAGGCAGGTTGATAGGAGATTTGGATCCCTGGTTGCTTGGGGCCCCCAAGATAAGTACCAGCACCTTAAATTGGGCCCAGAAACAAATAGGAGGCACTGGGCTTCTTTCAGAATATATGCATAAACATAGCCATATCAGCCAACACTCTTGAGGCTGATTTCTGCATCTGGAACTTCTGAGTTGTCTTCAAGGGCAGTCCCAAATACAGTTCATTACAGCGATCTAACCTGGAGAGGACCAAAGCATAGATCCCTGTGGTCAGTTTCTCTCTGTCCAGACATGGCCACAGCTGAATGGCTAACCAAAGCTGGCCAAGGGGACCATGGAGAATACTGTTTGTGACACAGTGTTAACAGGGTCTTGAGAAAAGAGCTGCAGCTACGTTCTTTTAGATCCTGGATTGAATGGCCCTGTCG